AGGAAAGTGAGACAAAAAAAGGCTAGAAGCGGTGTAGAAACAACAAAATTCCACCTAATAAACAATCCGAGAGAGGACATGTATGAACAACTATTAACAAAAGCAAGAGAAGAACTCAACAGATGGGCAGACTGGAATAGGCAAGGATAAGTCGTAAGAGCCAGAGTGAAGGACTAGGAAAACAATGAATCCATGACTAAGTACTTCTTCCATAAAATCAAATCAAACAACAGAAACAACAGAATCCTAAGGCTAAAAAATAACCAAGGCCTTGTGGTTTTTAATCAAGAGGGAATTCTTAAAATAACAACAAAATTTTATCAAAATTTATACACATCGAGAGCAGCAGAGTTCAACCAAGCAGAGGTAACTGGAACAAGAGACAGGTTCCTAAAACACCTAGACACGAGTGTAAAACCAGCAGTTGCATATCTAGACAAAGATATTACCAAGCAAGAAGTCTACGAAGCACTGAGAAGCATGCAACCTAATAAAGCCCCGGGGAATAACGGACTATCTAAAGAATTCTGGATAGAAAACTGACAAGTAATGGGCGGGGACCTATTCAACTTTTTCCAAAAAGCCTTTGAAATAGGCACGCTAGGAAAAAAAATAAGCACAGGTGTAGTAACTCTGCTTTACAAGAAAGGAGAACGAGAAAACATTAAGAACTATAGACCCATCACCCTACTACCAGTACCATACAAAATACTAGCAAAGACCCTAGCCAACCGCACAAGGAATGCCACTGACAAGTGTTTCCATAGATCAAACCAGTTTCATCCTTGACAGATACATTCTAGACAACGTAGTTTGTTGAAATAAAGTCACTAAACTGATTAGAGATAAAAGACTGCAGGCAGTCATTCTCTTTTTCGATTTTGAAGAAGCATATGACCAAGTAAACTGGGATTTTTTACAACTCAACATGGAAAAAATGGGTATTGGCCCAAATTTCAGAAAGTGGGTAAAAGTGTTGTATGAGGATGCATGGTTTAGTACAAGTAAATTGACACTTATCGGACACGTATAGAATGACTAGATCAGTACGCCAGGGGACCCATTGGCAGCACCAATTTTTCTTTTGGTGATGGAAGCAGTAACATCCTTCCTGCGCAAAGATCCTTCGATAGATAGACTTACCATAGAGAATTTGGACAGGTTCATCTCTTTCCCCACTGTTATGTTGTTCGCAGACGACCTCACAATCATAGTCCGAGCCACAGATACCTCATTTCAAGCCTTAACAAGAACAATGCAAGCATTCCAGCTAGCCTTAGAAATGAAGATCAACTGGTCAAAGACTGTTGGGTGGTGGTTGTCCCACATCCAACACCCCAACCCACCGCTGAAATGCAGGGTCTGGAATGAATAAGCACTTAGGAACCTATGAGATTCCTGGGAATCACAATATCAATGGAAGGTATCAGCGAAAGCACAGGTCCAAACATTCTAGCAAGAATGGTAAACAAAATGACAAAATGGCAGAAAGTGAATACCTCACTCCAAGGCAGAGCCTTAGCGTTAAACACTTCGATCTTCTCCATGGGTTGGTACACAGCCTCCTTATGGGATCCACCGCCCAATTCATATCAACATTAAAGAAAAAGCTAGGTGCATTTCTATGGACAGGAGAGGCATCCAAGGACAAGTACATATCGAAAGTAGCATGGAAATACAAATCCAGACCAGTAAAAAAAGGAGGCCTAGGACTGCTAAACCCGGTAAGTGAATACAAAGCCCTACAATCAAAATGGATCATAAGAATACTCATACACAAATAACTACCCTGGCACGACATGGCTCTCTACCAGATTTGCAACCTAGTACCCTTCCAAGCAGACCCCCAAATAGAGGGATACCACTGGCTCATGAATGCATCATGGACCCCAAGAAAGGAACAGGGCAGAACAAGCACCAACCATTCATTCAACAGGGACCCCCCGAGTAGCCACTGGAGAACACTAATCAAGCACTGGCGAGAAGCACTTCCGGAAAAGGTAAGGAAGCCAAAGAAAAAATAAGAAGTGTTGAGACAACCCATTTTCGGTAACTCCCTTATCAAGGACGGTACGAACAAACCATGGTCCTTAGCAGCCTGGGGTAGGAGATGGCAAAAATGGGTAGAGAAGGGAATTTGGAAAATAGGTCACTTATGGCTGGATGAAGAGCAAAGATGGAAGACAGCCTCAAAATTGAGACCTCATCTCAAGGGATCCCACAACCTGGAAAAGAATCTAGAGGAAGTATTAGATAGCATGCCGTTAGAATGGAGAGCCCTACTAAAGAAGGAAATCAAATGGGAAGTAGGAGACTGGGCAACAGACAGACAACAATCAACATCTTTAGTAGCTCTCAAATTCCTTAAGAAAGTAGACACCCTCAGCGACACCGCATAATTAGAAGTACACGAGTTAATAAACAATCACAAGACAATAGCAGAAATCAAAAAGGAGAGCATAACAACATTAGAGTTTAATTTTAAAAATACGAGGAAAGTCAGAACATGGAACCAAGAAAAGAACAAACGAGCACAAACTACTACTAATATTCAGACCAAACAAGGATATCAGTGAGTTGGAAGTGGATCCAATGGAGTGGAGGTGGTTTGTTAAAATTGGCAGAGGAAGAGCTAGAAAACTAATCAATCTGCAAGACTATGAAGTAAAGTTAGGTTCCAAAATAAGGAACAAGACAGAGGACCCACGCGCATTCATATCAAGAAGATGGGCCAAGCATCTAGGAGAAGAACATGGATGGCCATCCGAAATCCCATGGGATTATTACAGCAGCCTAAAGCCCCTTAGATTCAGAAGCCTACAATGGATGATTCTCTATTCTGCGGTCCCAGTCAATGAATGGCTGGACTCACGCAGAAGAGAAGATCAGAGGACGGAACATTCCTCCCACTGCAAAATGTGCAGGGATAACAAAGTAGAGTCGCTCATCCATTGCTTGATAGAGTGTGCACATGCAACTACTCTATGGGGATCAGTCAAAGCGACCTGGTCCAACATTTCCTCAAATGCGTACCCAAAACAAACCAACTACCTACTATCAGCAAGAGACGGGAAGGAAATTTGTCAGAAGAGGAGAACACTATAGCTGGCGTATTGAGAAGAGAGGCATTATGGGTCATATGGAAAATCAGATGCAAGGGAACTCTAGGGAACCAAAGAATAACAAGCGACGAGGAATGGAGGGAGACAAAAGAAATAGTAGAAACATAAATTAGAGCACAATGGAAAATAGAACTCGTCCTTCGGGACATCCGTCAAAATTGGAACGATGCAGAGAAGATTAGCATGACCCCTGTGCAAGGATGACACGCACAAATCGAAAATAGAACTCAGGAAACAAGAAAGACTAACAGATCCTAAAAAGAGAGCTGAGTCAGAAAGCGTTCGAAGAAAAATGGTTACTAAGTAAGAAAATAGCAGAAATAAAGGACAGACACCTGAAGTTCCGTAAGTGGGACACAGAGCAACAGGACACGGAGGAACGACAAGAAGAAACTTCACACGAGGCCGAAGAATACTAAGGATCCAAGAAGGTCGCATGAAAACAGGAATTTAAGAAATGCTATCTAAAAACCAACAGTCCGAGCCAGGATAAGAAACCAACTTTTGGAAACAGAAAATGCAAAGAAAAGAAAACAGAGCCCTTAATTAGGAGCTAACAGAAATTAGAGTTTAACTTATGCTAGAACCAGACCCATACAACCCACGAGCCTAGCTCAGTGGGTACACACATGAACTGTTGAAAATACAGACTCGTGTTCAAATCCAGATAATGGAACTTGATGCGTAAAGGTGTAAAACCAATTATTTCTGAATTGCCGGGGGCCGGTCAATTTAATTATGATTAAAAAAAAAAAAAAAAACAGATCCATACAGGTAGAACCCATTCGAGAGTATAAGATTTTAAGCCGAACAGACATTATGTCAGGCTCCAACAGAAAGAATAGTTTATAAAAATAATAATAAGAAAGGAAGGGGAAAATGACAGCTTGACACAATAAATTAGGACAGACCCACCCCCAAAAATTAGAGATGCACACCAACAATACCAAACCACCAATCATCTAGTCCATCTCAGTCATCACCGATATTAAACCAACCTCAGAACACCCAACCACCTCCATAGCAGCAACCTCCTCGCCACCTCCTCCTCCACACAATTCCTTTCACTTCCCCCCCCCATCCCCCAAACATCCGAGCAAACATATACTAACGCACACATCCCCCTTCCCATTCCCACTCCCACGCATCACAGCTATCCCACAATCACCACCGATCCAAAATTCCCATCCCTACCAACCCGCCTCCCATTACTCCAGCCCCAACCAAAGAGTATGCCGCAAAATTCAAGCAGAACCCCCATCAACAGTAGACACAGTCAGGAAACAACCCTCAGGAAAAGTCTATCATCAGAGTGAAACCAAGCTAGGGTTTAGGGTCTCTAGCTTCAAGCAACACTTTCAAGTAAAAGTGCTCCCAATCAGTCCGGAAGTAGAGTAAAGGGGTCCGGTACACCTACTGTACCAGAAAAACACAGACGTGTCACAGGTCCAGTTGATAGAGAGGAACAGACAGAAAGAAGACCTGATACTTCCAGTAAAGTCAAGCAGCAGCTACTAGAACAGGCTAACTTAGGCAGGGGTGAAGATCGGTACATCCTCCTTCAAGGAAGTAATCAATCCCGTCTTCTGGGCCTCCACGCCATAAGGGGGAGGAGCGTGAGTGAGTAACCATTGCACTATCTTGGACTTGCCGGGGGAATAGGAACCGGACTGATGCAGTCGTTTCGCAGAAGAGACGACCAGCGAACGCGTTTGAGGGAGGCGGTACAAACCCGTGACGGTGGCTGGGGAATTGTACGTGCCACACGCCAGCTAGGCAGGGCAGGGCTGGGCAGGGCAGCTCTGTGCCAAGCTGGATGACTCGCTGACGTTCCCGTCGTCCGCTAATGTAGCTACCATATCACCGTAGCTACTGCCGTGGTTCCTTATCTTGAGCCGCCTCTACGATCTCCTTTCTGTTGATTTCACGGACGGAGGTGTGCGGAGGAGCAAGAAGGGATGTGATTCTCTGACTTGATTTTGGGAGAGGGAGGGACGCGGGGTGTGACTGATCCGATTGTCTCAGGCACTGCAATGAAGACGAACACAATTTCTTGCCGACGTCCTGCCTCACGACCTTGAGAGCGATTTCAAAGGAGGAAGTCGGGACGTGGAGGTGGTCTTTCTTGCTGACGGTATCGGTGAAAGAAGAAAGGGCCAGGGTCGGGCCGCCGAAGAAGAATCAGAATAAGAAGTAGAAACACAAGAAGCAGCAGCAAAAGCAGAAGAAGCAGCAAAAGCAGAAGCAGAAGAAGAAGAAGAAGGAGAAGAAGAAGAAGAAGAAGAAGAAGAAGAAGAAGACGAAGAAGACGAAGAGTGGGGATGGACAGAAGATTAGCTATGGCGGCCTCAGCGGGCAAACCTGCGAAGATGCAACTCACGGAATGGTGCCAAGCGCATCCATCGCCGAATGGTTCGGTGCCTGCGTTTGTGATTGAAGGCAATGGCCAGATCCCGACACTGTTCACAACGATCTTGACGATGCCTGATGGGAGAACGTACGAATCAGGAAAGTTCCGAAAGAAGAAAGAATCAGTGCATGACGCAGCGAGAAAAGCACTGGTTGACATAAAGAAAGGTGAGGGGTCCGGTTGGCTCTCTCTCTCAAACCAGGAGAAGAGCGCAACGCCAGAAGAACGCTTGAAGTGTATCAAGGACAGACTGACAGAGATCTTTGTGGAAGAGACATCCCCAGAAATGGCGATCTCGTACTCCCAGGCAGCTCAAAGGGCAATGAGTGAGAAAGAGAAGCGCGACTTCGCAAAAGGACAGGGTGGAGGGACTACAAGCCATTCAGGGCGGACGCCATCGTACTCAGGCACGAGCTCGAAGATGGAAGCTGCCAAGCCACGAACTTTGGGGCAAAGGGCAATGGAATTCTTGATGGAGAAAACTCAGATTAAGGCGGAGATCAAAGTATTAAAGGAAGTGATCAAGGGGGAGGGAGGAAAGGAGGAGGAAGTGGAGGTGTGGGAATACCCAGAGGAGGATATCCAATCTCTGAATGAGTTGTACGAGAAGCACGCGGTGCTTTTCAACTTCTCGGGACGAAGTAGGGAACTCTCTCTGAATGAAAAGAGAAGATGGGTGATGGATAGGCTAATAGCCATGGAAGAAGTCCCTGGGAAGGAACCAGAGGTATCATACCACAGGAGGGGAAGGTTTACAGTCATGATCGTCTGCGTTGATCCAACTTACGCGCAGTACCTGATATCGATCGGATCGCTGAAATGCAGGGGGTCGGTGGTGACAATCCAACCTTGGAAACCGCCAAGACCACCGCAAGCGGAGGCTTCAAGACATAGAGAATCCATGCTGAGAAACCACTTCTGGGTTCAGTTTGACAATCTGTCAGAAGGGATGCACAACTTCGTTCAAAGCAGGCTGAAAGCAGAGTATCCTAACAACCCAATCATCGAGTGGCTCCCGGCCAACCCGGACTTCCTGGCACCAAATCACGACGCAAGAGTGGCTTGCTTGGAAGTAACGTCAGGGGCGCCGCCAAAATTCCCGGACCAGTGGATTTTCAAGAAAAGTGGGCAGAGAGTTACAGTTTTCATCTCAGCCAAGACCAATCCTTTTTGCTTCAAATGCAGGGGCAGAGGTCATCTGGGTACTTCATGCCCACAGGGGGGCTCAAGAGAAGAAGGGGAAGCAATCGAGGATGCAGGAATGTGAAAACAAACCAGGAGTATGGTACATAAACGCATCACAGTATAGAGGTTGGATCTTTGATGACAATCTGGAAAACCCAAAGTGGGTGTGGGTGATGAAGGGGGAGCCAACAGTCAAGCCAGACATCTACCCTCCTTACGACAGCAGGTGGAGGCACACAGGTGCCAAACGTATGGAGGATAAGGAAACGGGTTTCCTAATCAAACCCATGTTGGAAGAAAAAACAATGCAAGATGTGGAGCAGAGATTGAAGCTCATGAGGGAACTACATGAGGTTGGGAAGAACGCAGAATTGGCATTCTTGGAAAACGCAGAAGCCAGGGCGCAGCAGCAGGGACAGGCAAGAGGCAAGGAGGAGGGGTCAAGGGAAATGAAGGAGGATGAAGGGGACAATATGGAMTGTGAGCAAGGAGGGAAGGGGGGAACAGAGAGAGGAAGCACATCCACAAAGAGGAAGGGAGTGACAAGAGGAGAGGATGGGTCTACCACTCAAGGGCTGTCTCTTATACACATCTAGATGTGTATAAGAGACAGGAACAGAGAGAGGAAGCACATCCACAAAGAGGAAGGGAGTGACAAGAGGAGAGGATGGGTCTACCACTCAAGGAAGTGAGGCACAACAGGGAAGAAGGAGACAAAAGACCCAATCCGGAAGGGGAGCCACTACAGAGGAGGAAGAAGGAGAGAGTAGAACCAGCAAAGAAACATCGGGTTTCTTGGGGAAGGAAAAGGAAGCAGATTCAGGCTCACTTGGCACAGCCTCAAAGGGAAACAGCTCAGGAGAAGAAGGTACAAGCATGATAGGGGAGGGAGAGGAGGACTTGACAAAAAAGGACAACCCAGAAGGATCCTCGCAACATGAAGAAGACAAAAGTGGTTCTCAGAGTGACCAGGGCACCCAGGGTCAGGGACCATTGGAGGATGAAGCAAAGGTAAGAGAAAGGGCGAGAAAGAGGGGGATGCAAAACACTGAGAACATGACAGTGGATCAGATTTTGCAGGCAGAGGAAGACCAGAGGGAGAGCTCAGAGGATTCAGAGAGCGAAGCCTCATCAGCCTCATCAGAGGACGACGAGGAAGAGGAGGAGGAAGATCAGGAAGATTCAGATGTGGAAGATTGGACAAGAGAACGATGGATAAAGGAGGTGGAACAGCTGGAATGGGGAAGGACGATCGAATGCGAAATCAGGCTGGCCCATCATAAGCACGTGAGGAACCTCCAACAAGCCACACAAGCAGGGGGGGACATCACATCTGAGAACAGGTTTGAACTGCTTAGGAGGGAGGGGGAAATCAACGAGTTTTATGCATCTCAGTACGCAAGAAAGAGCTGCACAGTAAAAAATGAAATCCACATTCAGCAGGAGGAATATGAGAGGTTGTTTCAATGGCCAAAGACATACCACAACAAGGAAAGGAAGAGGGAGGACAAGAAACGGAAGGCACAAACGGCAGAAGAGCAAGGCAGTACAACTAAATGGGGGAATGACTCAATGGAGGATGCAACCATGGAGGAGGTTCAGGAGAAGGGAGAGAGAGAAGAGGAAGATGTGCAGGACCTGAGAAGACAAGCCGCTATTCTGGTGGTGCAGGTCAACTTACTCAAGGATGAGAATAGGGAGTTGGAGGACGATACAGTGAACATACAAAAAATAGCAAAGGGTTAGTGGAAGGAGATAGAAGCTGCTGCCCGACTGGAAATTAAGAATGGGACGAGGAGGAGAGTGGTCTTACCCTGTCGATGGAATGCAAGGCACTCGGATTGGGAAGTGGCTATCAACCAATCTTTGCAATTGATAACGACTCCGATGGACGAATGCTCAGGCTCAGATCTGCAGAGGTTAATAGGGGGAGAGGTGCCATTGAGAGGGTTTATATTGAGAGAGGGAGAAGAGGAGCCGATGGCAATGGGGGAGGACAGTGAGGAGGAGGCAACAACCGATTTCGGACCACTGCTACTCCAAATGGAGGCTGATTTTGAATTAAGAGAAGGTTTGATCTGGATGCCTTGGCAAGTGGTGGAGACCATCCCTTACGGGCTGCTGGGGGGGGAAGTAGGTGCGGAATGGGTGGCGAGATGCACAGCGGTAGCGGTGAAGATGGAGGTTTTTGCTTGGAAGCCAGAATTCTTCGAGGAGAGGGTAAGTGATGTAGCAACAGTTTTAGAGCTCACAGATACCTGAGCAAGGAAAATTAGAAAGAGAATTCGCATCCTAACGCGGGGACCTAATGGAGGGAGGTGGGGAAGAGAGACCAAGAAAGTAGAGAAGAAAAACTAAAGGGGGAACAGGTCCACCGGAAATCAGGATAGCTTCGTGGAATGTGAATGGGATGGTGGCGATTCTAGAGAATAGTGACAAATGGCAAAATGTAGTGAATTACTCAGGATGGTACACATTGTCACCATCGGATTTTTTGTGCTTGCAGGAAACACATCTTCAGGATTTGGAAGAGCACCAGAAAACGAAGCTCAAGATTGAGAAGAAGCTGCAATCGGCTTCCCGAATAGACTATTTCTTGACGTCGGCCGGAGTAATAGGCATGTTGTAATCAGTGAGTATAGGTAACTTACCGTATGGATTGGGTCTGGATCACAAACCTATCCATTTGAGTCTATCACCCGACAAACAAATCAGCAGGGGTAGGGGGTTCTACAAAATCAACAACTCCCTCCTGAAAACCCGGGAACTGAGACAGGCGATTCTACAAGTGTGTCAGGAACACAATCCAGACACACAAACATTCCSAGAGCTGCTCTGGGCATTATCTAATGCTTCGGCAATAGTGGCTAGGAAGCTGGCAGCAAAGAGGAAAGAAAGAAAAGAAGAGTTGGCGCGAGCAATAGAGATAGCAGAGCGTATGGCGATTAACTCGCCAGGAGACGAATTATACGAAAGAGTACTGGAAAAGGCAAGAGAAGAGATGGCGGACTGGCAACGGTGGAGAATGAAAGGCCCGAGGGCTAGAGTCAGGGAATGGGAGGAGGGGGAGAGAATGACCAAATTCTTCTTCCAAAAAATAAAGTCCAAAGGAAGGAACAACCTTATAGAGCAACTAGAAGGGGAAGGGGGGCCCACCGCAGACAAGGAAGGGATGTTAAGGGTGGCTTTCGATTTCTATAGCAAACTATACACATCTACAGAAAACCTGCTCCCGAGGGTAAGGGTGGAAGAAGCGAGATCAAAGTTCCTGCAATATCTACAAAGCACAATATCACAACAACACGCGACCATGTTGGATGAACCTTTGTCACAGGAGGAGTTATGGAACGAACTAAAAACGATGGCCCCTGCACAGCTGCAAGAAAGGCCAACTGACCTGGTCATATGCCTTTTCAAAGTCGAAAAAAAGAATGGCGGCGTTAATTCTCTTGTCTCTTATATACCGGACAGATTCTGTTAGGCACATAACATTGTCTAGTATAAACCTACCYGGAATGAATCCTGTTTGATCCAAATGGAAGCTGCCTGCCGTGATCTTTGATAAACGGTTAGCTAACGCCTTGGCTACTATCTTGTGTGTGAGGGTCAACAGAGTTATAGGTCTGTAGTTCCGTATGTCCGCTGGATTTCCTTTCTTGTAAAGCAGCGTGACTATTCCCGTTGCGGGCTCATTGCCTATGCCCTCCGCCTACCAAGCGTTCTCTAGGAATGCCAGATATTCTTCACCCAAAATTGGCCAGAATTCTAGCCAGAATTCCTTGGTCAGCCCATCCTTCCTAGGGCCAAATTTTAGGAAATGGATAAGGGTCCTATACAACGACGCGCGAGGGCAAGTCCAGGTTAATGGTCATTTATCTCCGACCTATCTGATGTCAAGGTCAGTTAGGCAGGGAGATCCTTTAGCAGCTCCCATCTTTCTCTTCATAATGGAGGCAATAGCCTCTTTTCTAAGAAAAGATCCGTCAATAGAAAGATTAATAACACCGCCCGACCAGAGAGGACACATGGTCGAACTCCCCACGACGATATTGTTCGCAGATGACTTGATTGTTTTGATCAGAGCAACAGACTCCTCCTTTCAGGCGCTAACAAGGGCAATGGAAGCGTTCCAGCTGGCCTCGGAGATGAAAATTAATTGGCACAAAACAGTGGGATGGTGGCTAGCAGAACTAGACCCAGAAAACCAGATTCCGGTCACAAGCCCAGAGGGGCTTCAATGGTTGGCGCCACAACATCCGTTCAGGTATCTAGGGATCAAAATAACAGAAGAGGGAGCACACCAATCAATGGCGGCGGACATGATGGCCAAGGTGTTAGCAAAGCTTAGTGCTTGGTCGGCAGTCTACACCTCAATATATGGGAGAGCGTTGATCTTGAACGCATCAATCTTCTCCATGATGTGGTATGCGGGGTCCATCTGGACCCCGCCAAAGTCCACGTCAGCCCAGCTTAGAAGAAAGGCCGCAGCCTTTTTGTGGACGGCAAAACACAACAAGGAGCWTTTCATAGCCAAGGTGGCTTGGAAACAGGTAACTAGACCCAAAGGGCAAGGGGGCTTGGGGATTCTTGACCCAAGTCAACAGCTGAAAGCGSTCCAAACGAAATGGGTGGTCAAACTAATATCACAGCCTGGGTTACCATGGACGTCAATTGTATTAGATGGGATTAGACAGATAGCCAGGTATAAAACACCGAGCAACATGATGGGGCTATTCTGGATTATGTGTAGCAACTGGGCCAAAATAGGCCATAGGGAGGGGAGTAGGGGAATACAAGGAGGGAGGGCCAGAAATTTGGCCTATTGGCTACAACTAATACAGCTGTGGAAGGAGGTCTTCCCAGCGAGGGTAAGAGAGCCTACCACAAGAGAGGAGGTATTAAGGCAACCGCTATTCTGCAACGCAAGCATTAAAGACACTGGTGGAAAGCCTCTAACATTAACAAGTAGAGATTCGAGATGGGGCAGATGGTTGGAGCACGGGGTATGGCAGATCAAACACATTTGGGATGAGAAGAACAACAGATGGAAAACATCTGACGAATTGAGAAGGATTCTGAAGGGGTGTCATAAGCTTCAGGACAACCTGAGTGTAGTCACAGGCTCCATACATCCAACCTGGGTACAGTTGTTRAGGGGGGRAAGACAATGGYGGGAGGGGGATTGGGCCACATGGGAAGATGAGGCAGAACCTAAAGAGGTCTACAGAGTGTGGGATACGGTCAAAGACAGGAACGAATGGCTAGTAGCAGACAAATACAACATAATACAGCCATGCAATACCACGTCTCAATTGGATAGCACATCCAAAGTGCCACTGTACATTCTTAAACAGGGGTTGCGGAAGGTAAGAGTGATAGAGACGGAAGAGTTTACGGTGTACAATTCAACGCTTCCAATTGAGGAACTAGAGGTAGATCCTGTTGAATGGGCCTGGAACATTAGAGGGGGGCAATTTAGAGTAGCAAGGAGAATCAACATCCTTCACTACACTACAAGAATAGGTTACAGGCTAAGGAACAGATCTCTGGCTATGAGACCTACTCTACTCAAGCGCTGGGAGGAAAAGGTGGGGGTCCCCAGAAGCCAAATGGTAGACATACCATGGGAAAATATTTTGTCAATAAGACTGGGGCAAGTGAGGAGCATGCRATGGCTGATAGCACATGTGGCGCTGCCAGTGAATGTTTGGCTCAACGAAAGAAGAAGTCACAACCAGAGAAGCCATGAAGCTGAGCTATGCAGAGTGTGTCAAGAAGGACTTCCGGAAACACTGGTACACTGTCTAATGGAGTGCAAGGAGGCGGAGGTGATGTGGGAGCAAGTTAAGGGAATTTGGAAACTGCTGGCGAACACTCCCTTTCCAGGTTCAAGAGTTACTAGGCTTTTGGGGGCTGAGGTACCCAAAAGAATGCAACCCTATCAGAGACATAT